TTCATTCAATTTTCCTTTGTCTTGTCTGCCACTCCGGCTAGTTGATATATTCAGGCTATGCAGTCTGTGCCGGTCTTCTTGCTGTTTCCTTTTAGGGCCATTGGCTGCCATCGTCTAACCACAATCAGCGATTCGCCTTCTGGGCGTCCTGTCAGCCCGAGTGACACACAATAAATGTTTATTTGATCAATTGAGTTGCATTCTGCGAGGCCCAACCATTCTGTGCCTCTGCTTTCAACTGTCTGCCTGTCACTCCATCAATTAGATAGAATCGGTGTTGCTGTTGCTTCTGATTAGATAGGCATTGACAGCGCATCGCATCGCATCGCCTGACAGTTGTTCTACATAATCTAATATAATCGGTTAGTAGATGTTAAAGCTAAAGGGAGAAGAGTTTAGCTCTGTCTAGGCAGGGTAGCTATTAGTCTATCAATCCTGCTTAGCTTTTATGTGGTATTCAAATGATGCAGCTACTTATTGCTCTGTCAGATGGAACTCTGTGAGGCAGGAAACGCAAATTACCATGGGGATGCAGTCCATGCTGGGACTGAGATTATAGCTGCAAGCTAAATGCCCGTAATTGCCTTCGCCACGTTGCCACTTCCTTAGCGGACATGCCACACGCTATGCAGCATCCTCTGGAAAACATGTTCGCTCCTCTGGTTAATCGGTTATTAATGACTTTGGCGCAATTAAGTAACGAACACAAAGCACAACAGCAAGAGCCAAAGCGTTGCACTCGAAACGCCGCTGTCGCCGTCGCAGGCAGCAGCGGTCAGCAGGAGGCGTTGCAAGTAAAAGTTGCAAACCGCACGTGAGGCACATTGCATTAAGAAGAGGCAGACAACAACAACAACAACAACAACAACAAAATACCAAAAAGAAAACATGCAAACACATACGCCTTAAAATGTGAAAATGCGAATGACCTGAATACACAGACGTGTGACGAGACACACACACACACACGCACACATTGAAATTGAGAGTATGGGGCGCATGCGCAACGAGCTACAAGCGAAGCAAAGTGACACACACACACACACACGCACACATACACTGATCAATGCGGCGCATGCGCAACGCGCAGCAAGCGGCAAGCAAATGCCTTAAAAGGCAGCAACGCCGCCGACGATTTCCTTTTCAGTTCGGCTTTCTTGTTGTTGTTGTTGTTGTTGTCACCGTAAAACTAGTTTTGCGTACAGCATTTTGCTTTTTTTCTTGAAAATTTGTATTTATTTCTGCTTTTGGGGACAACTTGAGCACTAGCTAGCTGCACCTGCACCTGCACCGAGTTGGCCAGTTATCCACAGACACACACACACACACACACACACAAACACACAACCACACTCACTCACACCTCAAGCACTTTGATTTATGCAAAGTATTCAATTGATTTGCTTGCTTTGTTTGTTATGCTTGACTCTTGACTTTGTTTGGCTCGGTTCTCGCATTCGATCCAAAGAAAACTTTATGGAAACTCGTTTAGCTGACTCCGTCAGGCGGGCTGGCTGCATAGCCATGCCGCCTCCTATTTCATCACCGTGTAGAATCGCACAGGTGTGTCTGCATGTGTGTGTTTGTAATTATATTTCAACATAAATTAGCTTCGAATAAGCTGCAGAATGCATAAACAACAAAGAAAGAAAGCTCAAGTTGGGAGTGCTCGACCTGGAGATACCCTGTATGCTGAGCAGAGATACACTTTCCATCATTACCTGTTGCCTGTTTGAGTTCTACAGGCTTAAATGCCTAGCTCTACTCAGCTCTGGTTTATATATACCCGATGTACTCTGCTAGGCCTTCTGCTGCCTGTTGCATGTCTTTTCATTAAACCATCATACCCTAACTTCACATTTTTACCGCATACAGTCTATAATTGAGCTTTCGTGCTGATGAGGCTGACGACAGACTAATCTTTGCATATACGTAAAGCTCTACTCTAATCTCAACCCAAGTACTATATACAGACAATACGTGTTTAGGTAGCAAGAGTCTTCAATTCATTCTTAGCTTAATAAATTTGAAGCTCTGCTGGAATTTGCTTGATTTAATTATAAATAATTTGTAAACTTTTCTCTCTCGCTTTCTATGCGACTTGAATTAATGTGGTTTATCAAGGTGTTTTTAATTATCACATGTTAAATATTTATTGCTGTGGCAGCTCAACGATTAAAGCTCCTACTCCATTGCGTGTCACGTCTAAGACACTTTGCTGCAACTGGTTTTATTTTCCATTTCTAATGCTTATTAGCTGCATGCAGAAACCTGCTTGGCCATGCCCAAGGCGTGTGCAGCACGGCCAATAAAACGCATTGAAGAATTTCTGCACAATCGTTGGATACCAAGAATAACAATCAAGATCCAGATACCAGATACACGTAAGACTGCGATCTTGGCCATAAAAATTGCTGTCTCGCATACCATGCCAATTGCGCTAATAAATAGCCACCTGCTTTAGGCCAACAGGTGCCAGTGTGTGTGTGTGTGTGTGTGTGCCTGAGTCTCTTGGAGCCCTAGACAAGTTCAAGGCGGAAACTTTGAGAAGCTGCCGCACATAAAAGGCGCACACTCAACTCCATAAAAGGCAAATGTGTTGCCCAATCGTGTTTGCCAAATGCGTCTGATTATCTATCTACCTGTCTGCCTTATATGGCCTATCATTTCCAATAGCCAAACACATTAATTTCTAGCTCAGAGTACCAAGAACTCCTTGAGAAGCGTTGCTTTAGTCGAGCCTTTTATAAGCATCATAATTTTTCAATAGATTTTTTTTTTTTTTATAAATGTTTTTGTTTATATATATTTTTTATCTGGTCTCCAATTATCGTTGAGTGCTAATAAAGACGGGAGAGTCTCTGGTAGATTATCTCGAAATTCTTTAGCGTTGATGTGTCTAAGTAGCGAAGGTCAGAGAGAAGCAAGTGCTATAATCGACTAGCAGATGCCCTAGGCTATATCCGAGCATTCCTGACTAGACGCCGTAGTTTCTAATTGAGACTATCAGTTACTCTGAGTAAACTTGTATTGTATACTATACTACTACTATACTTCTACAAACAGTAAGTGATACTCTATGCTTCCCATTAAATATTAAATAAATATGTACACTTTATTGACTCTATCGATCACTCTCATGTTCTGTTACAGATATTTGATATGGATAATCTTATACCCCTTATACTAATTGCCATATGCCCGGGGTATAATTACTTTCTTCAGCTAATATAGTTTCTAGTAGTTGTGCAATATCAACTTATCTCTGAAGTCTAGTTGTTGTTGATGCTTATACAAGGTTGATCTCTTCTGGTTTTTGACATGTGCTTTAAATATATATATATATTTTGATAAATATTTGCTGTCTAGTGTTAGATGGTTAGCTCTTGAAGAGCTTCCCAAGGAAGTTTACAATGCGCTTTGGCATTAGTTTAGCAAGTTTAAAAGCTGCTTGAACTGATCCTCGAGATTGGCCGGGGCTTCCGTGGTCACTGGCTCCGGCGTGGTTGGCGCCTCGGTGGTCGTCGTCGTCGTTGTGGTCGTTGTCGTTGTGGAGCTGCTGCTGCTGCTGGTGCTGGTGGTGGTGGGTATGGGTCTTGGACTGATTCGACCATCGAGACAGGCCTGCAGGTAGTTGTAGTTGCTGGCCGTGGACTCCACGTAGGAGCGCTCGGCCTTGTTGTTGCACTTCTCATGATTCAGATCGATTAGGCGATAGCGTTCCTGCAGCAATGTGGCCGACTCAGAGGCATTGCCCGAAATGCCGTAAGTGGAAATCGTATTGTTGGAGCCCTATTGGGGATTATATGGAGACTTAGCTTCACTTTTGACATCTGCTGGCGTTTCTACTCACCGCTGCTGCATGGCAATTGAAGGAGTCGAGAGTGCCATTGACCTTGTTACACTTAGTCAGAGCTCTGCATACAGATTCGGCAGATAGTTCGATTCTCCTGCGAGTTGGCAGGAAGTCGATATCGATGCCGCGACGTGATCTCTGCGCGTCCTTCAGGCAATCGCTGTAGGCGCCACTGTACTGCTCCGCAATGAGATTCGATTCGCCAATGTAGCCGGCAAAGCAAGACATCGATATCATCGGATCGCGATGCGTCACCCGAGAGTTGAAGAACAGACGGGTCAGGCCATCCTGGGTGGGAATGCCCACATAGGGTGGCAATGGCTTCATCACTGCCTCGGTCGAGGCGACCAGCATTGCGGCCAGGATTACCAGAGGCTTAACCGATCCCAAAGGCATGTCTGCGGAGTTTAGAATGTGAACTGCTTTTGGCGCAGTGCGTCTATTTCGACTCGCTTTTATATGCAGACTGAAGATGTCTGATAAGCTCATTATGTGATCTCTCCTTCGTTATCATCTTGCGAATTTTTTTAGTTTTTTTCTTTCTTTTTCGTAAATGAAACTAGATAAATAGACCTCCATCCGTACGCTTGTTTATTTACAAACACGTCATTCATTAAATGGTGTGTGGAAACTACGTCTGAGATTGTTTGTCAAGCTAGTATTCTCTATGGTCTATTTGCAGACATCTAAGAAAACGCTAATTGCACTTTTATTTTCGTTTATTACATTCATAACCGGCCGTGGTAAGCTGACGGTGCACAGTATTGCAGTACCCAGATCTGGGTCCATAGATGTTTGCTATACGCTTAGCGAAAGATAAACCGAAATTTATAGCAATTTCCGTTGATTTGCTATACAAATATATATCTATCTCACTCCAACAACGTGTTGATGCTCGATCTCGGTAAATATTGATCATGTGAGTCAAATGATCTAAATTAGATAATGCGATGCATGATGCATCTGCAGTTGCAGTTTATCTAACCTACTTTTTGATAAGCCCATTCAAAGTCCCCTCTCAAGGGACTCCCTAATGTCGGAGATAACTGTATGAATTATTCCCAATTAATCTTACTCAAAATTCTTCCTTTGTGAGTCACGGAACTTCCGAGAAACCAGTTACGAATGAAACAACAACTCAAGCAACTCTTCCATCAAATTCATATTTAAATCTTGCCTTTTGGGCAAGTCTTTGTATAAGTAACAACCATTTCCTTTTTAGGATCCCTGAACTTATATGATAGGTACTTTATGTTACGTACAGAAAGGTACTTTTGTAATGCTACATATAACTTGATCAATGCCTATTTAAGTCTTGGCCTTAGACCTATATGCATGCCCGTTGTTGAGCGCAATATGAAGTTCATCATGGGCTTTATGTCTGGGCCCTTTGGCAATAGTTCGTAGTAGCGTATCACCTTGCTGAGCAGCATCTTCATCTCCAGCATGGCGAACTTTTGGCCAATGCAGTTCTTGGGTCCAGCACTGAATGGCAAATAGGAGAAGTTGGCAGCTTGTGGCTTGCCATCCACATCTGCTGTGTCGTCCAGGAAGCGCTCTGGCTTGAAGCTGAACGGGTCGGGAAAGTATTTTGGATCCCGATGCGCAAAGTAGAGCACCATGTAGATGCTGGTGTGTGCCGGTATTATCTGATCGCCAATCTTGAGATCCTTTCGCGTGTATCGGCCAACCGCTGGCACCGGCGGGTAGAGCCGCATCGTCTCTTTGATGACGCACTCCAGATACTTGAGCTGCTGCAGCTGCGACTGGCTGATGGCGGCCCGTGGATCGCTGCCGAGCACTCGCACCAGCTCCTCATATATCTTCGCCTGCACCGCGGGATGTCTGGCTATGGAGTAGAGAGCATGGGCCACTCCGCTGCTGGTCGTATCATCGCCCTCGAACATGAACGTGTCCACCTCCTCGCGTATGTCCGCATCCGTGAGCGGGCTGCCCTGAATGGAGGCCTGCAACAGAATATCCAGGAATGCCATTTGCGGCTTTCTGCCAATTTCCTCATCGCCCAGACCTATATGTTGGATTAAATGAGAAGATGATCATTATTATATTGCTATGGTTGTTAGTTCAGTGTAATTCAGGTGATATCTCGGCTTACTCAACGGTTTGTAGGTGCCGTCGGCCTTGGCTCGCTCCACCGCCTCGCGTCGCTCGCGAATGACCTTGTCGGTGAAGTCATGCATGATGCGAATATCGCTCACCAGTTTCCTGTGTAACAATGGAGCCGTAACTCTAAAGAGCCATTCATAGCGCTGAGAGAACTTGAGCATGCGATCCGGCTGGATGTAAACGACGCTGAAAGTTTGCCCAATTATTACGTTGCGTTACGAATACCCGCTAACTATTCAGTGCAAATATGCGGTAATCGCTCTGTAGGCATACTCTATGAAAAACCCGTTTAGCTTTACACTTTACCCCTAAAACTGTTTGCAATTTAATTAAACAGTTAAGCAGAGTTCATCAACTGGGGTTGGGTTTTTAATACCTATATAAAGGGAGCGAATTTGGATCGACATATTTTCCCATCTAAGGGAATTTACGCTGTTATAGAGTTAAGATACCTTCTGGATCAATAGGTTCTGCCATAGAGCTACATTTTAATGGAATTTTACTGATATTATTCTTTCTTCCCTAGGATCTATACATAGGGCAAATCTAGCTCATCTTCACTCCATTAGAATGCTTATATTCGTACCCCTCTGGATACTCCTTTTAGCCCCTACCAAATCTAGTTATCCAAGAGTCTTACCTCTTCAACGCCTTTATATAGGGAAAGTCAGGATCGCTTTGTGCATTTACCTGCACGCCCATGGCCGTCTCTAAGCAAATAAAATCAAATTTACTGCTGGAACTACTTACACAAACCGAGCTACGCACCTGTAATAATATCGAGGGCTGCCAGCGAGACATACTTGAGCGTATCCACCGCCTGCTCTCCATCGGCCACTTGCTGTAGGCTGTCCACCAAAATGTCGGCCTGCTTGTCCATAATACTCACGTAGTGCTCCAGTATTTTGAAATGGAATACTGTAGAGAAGACCTTGCGCCTAGAGTGCCATTTCTTGCCCACACTCACGAGCAGTCCGTCGTTCAGAAAGGGCCGCAGGAACTGATATAGCTGACCCTTCTCCAGCAGAGTGGTGCTACTCAAAATGGCCTCAAAGTGCTCAAGCTGTGTCGTGTAGATCTGCGACTCGTTGAGTATCCACAAGCGAAAGGTCTTGCCATAGCTGCTGAAGCAGTTGCCAACATAATCGATGATATCTGGGCGATAAAGAGAAAGTTTATAAGAGCCGAGACTGGAATGCCAACTAGAACTCACTGTCGGCGCCCAGGTGCAGCGCCTGTAAGCCACATCCGACCAAGGGCAGCGACAAGGGGCCCGTAATTCCCGATTTGCTCAGTACGGCATAGCTGTGGCGCTTGCGTACAAAGTCCCAGGCCAGCAGCAGGGTCAGAGCGCCAACTAGTAAGGTCAGCAACATGTTAATAAAAGCGCGCACAGACTGAGCTGAGTTGCTCGGAGCGAAGATTAGGAGACAAGTGTTTGTATTGAAACAGATTCACAGCTATGTTGTTGTCAGCGCTGCGTGCGCGAGTTGACTGTGCTATCTATCTAGATGCTAGCCGGGCTAACCCGGGCTGCCTCCAGAATCGCGTCCGACTCAGAGTCAGAGTCAGAGTCAGCGAAGCGCATTGTTAGCTTAAATTTTATATAGAGATTTACTTGCCCCAAACTGGTTTTCATTCGATGTCGCTGCAGCTACCCCCACTCTACATATCTATAACCGGACTGTTTAAATGTGAGCAATACTCTTGAATTATAATTAGCCTACAAATGGACTAGGGAAAATAATCTAGTTCATATTTATAATTAGAATTAGTTATATCATTGCATTTGACTTCAAGTGTCAATGTCGACTTAACTCTGAACTTGCCTCAACTTGAGTAATATCTACTACCTTTTTCTCTCTGTGTATCAAATCATTATATGAACGGCACTCAGTTTGAGTTGTTTGCATTGTGGAATATAATTACAAAACAAAAACGCGATCTAAATTAATGAACCGTATTATCAGAGAATATTTTAGAATAATCAAATCAAATAATTTATTGGCCAGCGCCCAACTTAGAAATACCCTGCCCCTAGGCGACAAACTGTGCTCTGTAATATTCTAGGCCATCTGCTGCATAATATAAGTTTGATTAAGATTAAGTTTGATTTAACAAAATGCTGTTGAAATCTCTAGTCAAAGTTCAGAAATATTTCGTGGCGCCTTGGCTTGCTCTACAATTAAACTTTGCCTGTATATTCCATATTTAATTAGCTTTGATACGTGTAAATTTATGATAGGAGTCAATCCTACAATAGCTAAACCCAGTGTCTGGCTGATTGAAACCGAGCACAGGCAGCAAACATGTCAGCGAAAGGTTCTGTCAACCCGGCAGTGGAACAGAAACAGCTGTGGGGGTCGAGCTACAGTTGAATGGACTGCGATTGCGACTGCGACGACGACAACCGTTGTTTTAGTTTTTTTTAAAGTTGTGTTGAACTTGCTTGCAGAGTTCATTCCAGTTGGAGTGCTAAGGGCAGAGAACGGAGTACGACTTGGGGGCATACACTCGAGTACACTCAATTAAGTCACGGCCAAGGCAAGAACGAAGCGAGCGCACCGGATATGTTTATTGCGTGGGCTGGGCCAGCGAATCAAACAAGTTATCAAAGTGTCTAGCAGCCGGTCCGTTCTGTAACAGACAGACAAAACGGTAAACGAGAGCGTCGCATAAGAAAACCCGTCAACACGTTCAAAAATTGTTGTTGACTCATGATTTTCCCATGAAACCAGCGTGAAACGAAACCAAAAACCGGAAGATTTTGTCTTTGCGCAGACTTTATGCCAAGCTGAGGGAGTGGCCGGCAATCAATAGCTGCTGCCCTCATCTGTGGATGAAGCTGAAGTGCAGCCAGCAGTTGCACGTGCGGCACGGCTGGAGCAACAACCCAAACGCACAACATCCCCAAATATGCAGAGAGTTGGAGGTTTGAGGGCAGCTCTGAAAATGAATGAAATATTTCCCTTTGTCGTCTGTGCGGAGTTTCCGACATTTGCCAAAAATGCATTTTCATGGCTCATAGTCGAGCCGTCTGCTACTCTAGCCACTTGCTGGCACACCCACTCAGTCAATGCTCCCTCTCTCTCTCTCTCCCTCTCATTCTCGTTCTTCTCGTTTCTCTGCAGAGTCAAAGTTATCGCCAGCAAACAAAGAATGAAGTTTGTTTGGTATTGGTTTTTGGTATCCCCGGCAACCGGCAAACGCTACAAAAACACGTCTGGCCTAACCCCAAGTGGGGCTGGGGGTGGGCAGTCTGATTCTAATGGGGGTTGCTGCGTTTGCATGCAGCACGTGCTGTCAGCTCTGCGCCTGTCCGCAACAATGCAAAACAGCTGTTCAAATGTTGCTGGGGAAAATGTTGCTAAAGCCTTAAATACATGCTTGCTACTTGATATAGGCAAAAACAATTTTCAGTAAAATGTAGCTAAGATCATTACTAAAATGTTGCTTAAGCTGGGTAAAACCAATGAAGTGTTGCTACAACTTGGACTCATGTTGCCAACTTTCTACTACTAATAAAATCAAAATGTAAATATTAAAAGCCAGCTAATTTAGCTAGCTCGGAGCTATCTTGCCTCAGTTTAACGGTTACTAAAAAATAATTCTATGGCACACATACTTACATCATCGGCCGCCTTGAACTTGTTTTGAATACCCCGACCATGCATAGAATTTAATAATAATTTGGCTGAAAAATTGTTAAATAAAAATGCCGAAATGCTGAAACGTGGCCAAAACAAAACAAAAAGCTAAAAAAAAACGTTGGCTAGCTACAATTCAGAGTCAGAGTCAGAGCGAAGGTCAGTCTAATGAAATGTTAAATGCGCAAATGCTCGAACAAAAGCGACTGGCAAATTGAGCTTGGGGCGGGATGTGGGGCAGGTCGGAAGATGTAAAGATCGCGTTGACGTTGTAATTTTGCATAATGACGAACCTCAAGGGAGGCGGGTCGGGGGGAACTCGGGAAAGTTGGAGGAGTTGGAATGAAATGCCGCGTGGGAAAGCGCTGGGCCGCGATCTTCAGCTAAAGTGGACTCAAAAGAGTCGCGTGATGGCACTTGAACAGTTCACAAAGTTTAGCAAATCTTTTGCAACTGAGTGCGCGTGTGTATGTGTGTGTGTGTGTTTGGTGCTCGTCTATGATTACAATTGGACAGCGTAAGCTGCAACGCGATCGGTTGGGTTTCCAGCTTTGCGGTCTGGCTACCAGTGTATCGAATATATCGCATAATAATTAGACAAGTGCGAACTTAGCTCGAGCCGTAACCTTAACGCGCTGCACTTTAGTCTCACCTTGCTGCAAACCGCGTCGACAGCTGCTCAAGTTCGCGCTGAAGATCTTTTGCCTCTGCTATTCAAGGAACCCTCGCGCCTGCCTTACTCCATCGTGCCTGAGATGCAATTGTTTATGCCGTGCTAAGCGCGGTTCGTAAAGCAATCCACTTTGTTATATCATTGTTCAGTGGATCGCGTGTTGCGCATAAATTTTAATTGCGAATTATGAATCGCAAAATGTGCATAATTCAATTACAAAACATTTCGAACCCGACTCGGCAGCCAAATGATGCAATTTATAACATTTAGCAGCTTTGCTGTCAGTTTTCATAGTTTTTCACAGCTTCATTAGCCAACCGAGCGCATAGGGAATTCAAACTTGTTTCTGGGCTAGCAGCTGGGAGTTGGGTGGGCTCTCAGCAGACCTAACGGACCGACGGGCCACACCTTGGCCGGCCACTCAAACTAATTGAACGCTAAATTGTTTCAATATCAATTTGTGCATTTAGTGTTTAAACAAAGGAAGGCCTCGCCGCGAAAGGAGCTGGGCTGAGCTAAGCCCGAGCTGAGTGTGCCAGACCTTCGCGTGTGCTGTGAACTTCGACCTATTACTCCATTGCCCATCGAACCATCAGATATGGTGAGCGCATGCAATTCAAGTATTATCTACGCTTTTACTTTCATTTACACTGAACGAAAATAAGAGGCTAAGTAGCGAATAATATGAAGGGAAATTGGGCTAAAAGATTGATTGAACTCTCGAGTAAAAATTAGTCCATAAAATAATTATAAATATTAAATATTTTTTAGCTAAAAATTAATAATATGTAAGACTTTACTATATCATTAATTCTTTTTAAAATTGAGGAAAATACTTTCAATATTTTTATATGATAAACAGTGATACGCCAGCCTCAAATTCTGCATCTAAATTTGAATTTCAGTTTCTCTATCAAACGTTCGTTCGCTGCTGCGACTTCATTCAAATTGCGAAAACCTTGATTTTCTGCCAATCTCGTTTGGTCGTGACTTCAGGTAGTTATCCCGCTGTTTTGCACCTGGTGAACTTGTGGCAGATTTTGACCTGCTTCTCCCGCTTTGAGTGTCTGTCAGCAGGCTGTCAAATTTTCCAAATTAATATGCAATTTAACTGTCAGGATTTTGTGTTTACCTGTGCGCGGCGCTAGCCACTGTTGGCCAGGTGTTGAGTTGCGTTGGCCGTTGCAAGCGACGTTCAATCGTCTGCAGACATTTGCCACGTTCAGTTCGCAGTCTCTCGCTCTGTGCAACTCCAGTGACTCTACAACTGTGCCGCAGCCTTATCTACCAGACTTTAGCTTCATATAGAGTTGGTAACTCATTGTGTAGGAAGCGATCAAAGAAAACTGTAAGTTATTGTTATTGTTGTTTATTTTTCACTCACGCTGAGCATCGACATTTGTCTGCTGGATGACTAGGGCTTAGAGCCAAAGCTAACTGTACGCGTTGCAGGCCAATTGTGTTAGCTAATGACCATACGAATTGTATCCAATCTACTTATTTCATGTTATTTTCATCTCACATTAGCTTTACCTGAGATGAGTAATGAGGGACTATAATGAAACGAAGCTGAACTGAGAAGTCTGTGAAGCAACTGGAGTTGACTCACTAGACGTGTTTAAGAGTCTGGGGCGAGGTTAAACGCTGTTAGATTATATACTTAGAACATTATAGGAGGCACTTGTGAACTTTGATTATACTCATAAGAGCTCGAGTGACTTTTAGCCTGAGATGTTTATTAAATAGCCTTTTGTTCGTGACAAAAAAACATTCGCTTAACTAAATCTATTCTTAAGATTTTCTATTAAAAACATATCTAACTAAAATGCTTTCCTGGCATTTATAAATTATATGCCTTGCCCCGTGAAAGAGCAGAGAAAGTTGCCTGGAAAGTCTAGCGGCGATTGCTTCCTGTGTTGTAGAATTCCGAGAGTTATCAGCGCTGGGTAGCTTGATCCTCATTAGTGGCACAGAAAGTGCTGCATCACGAGTTTGTTATTAATGGAATGGATAGAATGGGGCGTGTAACGTGTAGCTGAATGTCGATGGCTGGTTGCATTTGATGTGCGAGTATCTGTAAGATACGACTTACATACACACTCTAACAGTCTGTCTCTGTGTTTATCTCTTTGCAGCAATCTCATTGCGAAAAGCAAAAGTTACTCGGGCATAGCCGGCCCCCAGCTGCCGCCACTTAATGCAGGTGGGTTTGTGAAGTTGCGTCATGTAGATACCGATAAGCCGAGCACATCAACGCAATCGCCGCCAGATAAGCAAGAGGATACAGCTCTCAACAAAGACGACGCCACTGCAGTAGAAGTAGAAACTGAGGTGAGTTGATTGTCTGACACACTCTACACACACACACACTCGCATGCACTTCAATTTCTGTTTACTCTCAGATTATGGGTCCCGATCAACGCAATATTGCCAAGACGGGCTCCATCGCCGATCGCTTGGCCGCGCTGCAGAAGAGCGGCGAGGATGACTGGAAGAAGCGCATCAGCAAGCGCGATGAGGTCGACGATATTTGTCGGGAGAATTTTGTCAATGTGAGTACGAATAGTTTTGTGATTTATTTTATCTTTATAGTGCCAACAATGGTCTGTTGGCAACGAGTTTTCCTATTTCGTTGCCTTGTTTTTATTGCCATTTCAATTGCTTTCGCACTTGCGTGAAAACTATTTCCTTATTGTCGCTTGCAACAATTTTTTATTTTTTTTTTTTGTAATTATGCGCAACGTTTGCTGCTAACTAACTCGAGTTTAATTTCTCTTGCCTGGCTGCAGGCTGTTAGCCAAGCGTTCAAACGAGAGCTAGTCGAAAAGTGCGAATGCTGCAAACTGCAGTTGGCCACCAAACAAAAAAAGCAACATTGAACTCTACTTTAAATATTAGAGATTTAAATCTATATATTATAAAAATATTCTATATTTTTTTTTAATATTTTGATATATACTTTTCATTTAATTATCATTTATATGTTAGATATTTCCATTCATAATTGTAAGCAAATGTCGAATATTTTACTTGCCAAGCACTCAGTGGCCGCTGCCTAACGCTAGATGGCGCCATTAGGCGGCTGCCTAAAAGTATGCTACGATTTTTTGCTTGCTATTATTTTTATATTGAATGTTGAGAGAATCTGGTATGAAAAAAAAAACAGCTGACAATTAAATTCAAGCAAATGATTGAAGTTAAAGCATAAATAAATAACCAAAATTTATGGCTAAATATAAAAGTTACAATATATATTTATCAATATTTATTATTTTTATTAATTAATTATTATAGAGAAGTTTTTTCGGCAGAATGTCAAGAAAGTTTGCCAGAGTTTTTATAGGCAGACAATCCGATTTGTTATGAAGCTTTTACTGTACTTCTGCTACTGCTAGCCCGGTTAGGTGTGCTGAATTTGGCATTTTACTTTCGTTTAACGGCTGCGCGCACGAATTACCAATTACCTGGCGTACTTTTTATGGCCAGGTGACATTTTGTCCAAGCACTTGCAAAAAGAAAAACATCTATATATTGAACTTCAAATTAAATCCGCCAAAGCTGAGTTGAGTGAACTTTTTCCCATTGTCTCCTTTCTCTGTTTGCCTTATTAAGCGCGCTTTACGCCGGGGCCTATAATTATGCGGGTCTGTTGGGTGTTCAAAACATACATTTATGAGCGCCTCCCTCGCGCCCTCGCTCCCAACAGTCTGTTGTACTCTAATGTACAAGTAATCACATTTAATTACGCTGGCCACGCCTTTTTGGGCATCATCATAATCAACGTCAACAGCTGCCCCTGTTTGACTCTATATACGGCTGTGGCTTCAAAGATTTGGGAGAAATTTTCTGGGCAAAATTCATGTCAAACTGTTTTGAAAGATCTAACCCAGGGGATGTGGGCACGAGTCAAATGAGTTTTGAATTGGCGTTGTTCACGCTTCTTGAAGCTCGAGTTGCCTACAAGAGCAGCTAAAGATGTAAATATAGATAGAAATATGTATGTATGTGTGTATATAGTACATAACTAGAGACTGAAGCACTTGACGCCTGCGCCACACTTGTGACAGTGGGGCAAGGCCATTGGAAAGTCAATGAAAAGTTATTGAATGAATCAGTCTCTATTGTAGATTATGTCAAAGATTATATTATGTTTCGGGCTTGATTAGGTTTGGGCATAGAAATGGCTTCAGCTGCTAATCACTGCTTCTACTAATCTAGTCTTAGTCATAGTGAATCAGAATTAGTTATAAACTGCGCAGTTATAGTGGCACTTAAACTAATTTTAGCTAAAGCTATTAGCGTTTGCTGTACTCCAATTCTAATTCATCCAGCTTGAGCTAATTAAATATATGAGCAATATCAAACTATATATAGGAGTCGAATTAGGTATACAAAATGAAGGCTAACATTTCACAGTTCTTAAAGGGAATTCGATTTGAATCATAATAATCAAGTGGCATTCATCATCAGGCCACGTTCGCTAAGCATATCATCATAATCATCTAAGACAGCGCAACTTTATGGAGGGCCTACGCTGCTGCAGTTGCCTGCCAACTTGCATTTCTTCATTTTTTACTATCGAAACTTGCCTTGTGGGCAGCAGCCAGCAACCAGCAACAACAACAACAACAACAACAATTATCAAATAAAAAAGGATGGAACTGAAGGCGGCGGCTGTTGGGCTGTGTTTGGGTTGAGCTGTGGCTTCCACTCCATTTAGCTTGCTGCCTCTAGATGTGCCTCCGTCTCTCTGTAAAGGCAGCCTGGGCCGACTTGCTGCCTGTACAGTGTACACCACATACGCCCCGCCGCCCTGCCCCTGACTATTGGGTCTGTTGTAATTCTTGATGCTGCTGCTGCTGCGGCTTGTTGGTTGGGTCCAGCTGCTGTGGCTGCTGCATTTGATCTGTGGCTTGATCTTGAACGTGCTCATCTGCCAAGCAAAGGCCCCAACAACCAACTGGGCTTGGCCTCGCCTCTGCCTTTGCCTTTGACTTTGCTAGTGCCTTCCTCTAGCTATTGTAAATTGTTTTACTGAATTTGATATACTTGCTGCTTTGCCCAGACACACAAATACACACACACACATACACATACATTTATCTCTACATACAAGCAGCCCCATCTCTCGCCCCTCCTTTTGGGTAGTTTATTATGCTCGTGTATTGTTCGCTTGCTGTTGTGCGATTATGTTGTTTTTTTCTTCATCTTCTTCTTCTTCTGCTTAGCTCTGATCTGCTGTACTTGTTCATTAGTCCATGCCTCGCCAAGACGCAGTGACAGTAGCTAGTTGTTGTTGATATTGTTGTTTTTGTTTTGTCTATAGAAAAAAGTTCTTACAAGCAAGTTGGGTCGCATTCATGTGCCCCTCCCTGCGTTGCCCCGCCCCACCCCACCAGCCTTGCTGATTATTTTTGGTGTCTTTATGTGATTCATTATGTTCTTTTGCACATTTCTGTGCTGCTGAAGATAAGCAGACTATTTATCCGACTTTATAGCCTTGCATCATCTTACATATACGATAATATAATATATGTATATTTTATATAGTATATGCCATCAGTCTGAAAGATTGCTACAGACATGATTCATGTTTTCTTCATGATTTATCCAAAAATTTCTGTGCATCAGGCCCTTCGTCACTAAAATTTGCAATCTCTCTCCCTCGCGCGCTCTCTCTCTCTCTCCATCTCTGTCTTTCTTTTTTCGCCAGCCTGTGATCTCTCCTGGTTGCGCTCGGTTTAATTTAAATAGTCTGTTTTCATTGTCTGTCGCCTGCGACAACAGCACTTGACTCGCTGCGCTCACTCTCCCGCTCTCTCTCACTCTCCCGCTCTCTCTCTCACTCACACTTTGAAAGCCGGCTTTGATAGTCTGCAATCGGAACTTGTTGCTCGCCGATTTGAGCGCTGCCGCAGTACGAGCCGCGACTCCAAGGCGAGCGCTTCGCAACTCGCAAAATTCGCATTCGACTATTGTTATTAGCATTGCTATTATTGTTATGCATTATTTTGCTTTTGCTGCTCGTTTTCCATTGACATTCAATTTGATAAGCGGCAAATCAAAATATTGACGTGTGTGTAAATTGAACTCTCTCGCTCACTAACTGTCTATCTCTCTTTCTCGCACTCGCAGTCGCTCCGATTGCATAAAAAGTAATGTGAAGTAGTTTCCTGACTGCGAAAATAAGTTGCATAAACTGTCGAATGCGGCGCAACAGGAAGCGAATTATATAAAGTCAAATAAATAATTTTTAACATATTATTTGGCATTTGGCATTTTGAATTTTGCATTTGCATTTGCCGTAGTGAAACGTTGACACAAATTTCACGACAAATATTAAGATAAATAATGTATTTCAAGGCTGGTCATTTCACTCATACTCACACACACACACACAAACACACTCACCTTTGAGAACTTTCTTATGCGCCGTATTACGCTTGCCCGCATTTTGTGACTATTACAAATCGAAGCCCACGTAATAATTTAAAAATAAATGCACGATTTCTCATCGGCAAACTGAATAGAAATATTACGAAATAAACTAAAACTAATGCGAATATATGGAAACAGAGCGTAAAGTGAATTCATTTACAACAATATGAGCATTCTAACTGAACGTTAAACAGAATCAGTGCAAAATGCTAAGGCTAAACGGCATAATCAAGCACTCCAATTGGAAACCAACTGCTTGCATGCAAAAAGGAAGATATTCATATGCACACGCACACACACACACATGCGCTTTGACCTGTGTATAAATTACCAATAAGACTGATGATGCTCCAATTTGAACCCGACTACTACAATTCTCGAGCCAAAGTGCGCAAGTGCAGCTGCAGCCGCAGCCGCAGCAGCCGACGACGCGTTCACGACGTTGTCACCGAAACTCAACGAAGCCAAACATCATAAGGCACAGAAGAAGACACACTGCGTCGCGCTGTGAGAGAACGTGAGAGCGGCCAGCGAGTGGAGAGAAAGCAAAGTCCACAGAGAGCGACGCGCAGCTTGATAAAAGTTGCGTTCGTTGTTGTTCGTTCAGTTAAATTTAAGACGAGAAGCCGAAGAGAACGACCGTTGGGTGCGTCGGAATGCAAAACGCGCCTAAAAAGCAAACGCAAAAATAAAAACAAAAACAACATTCAAAATAAATAAAGCAAAATAAAAGAATTCTAGAATAAATAAAAGACAGCCTTGCGCGGATATCAGATGACAGACAGTCCAAGATAAAAATACTAAAACGAGCGTTGGAATATGTTTTTGCATATATGCATGAATATAAGGACAAACAGTGCGACGGCCGATTGCAAATCACAACAGAAAGCACTTAACGAAAGGTGTGAGCGCGCGTGCGAGAAAGAGAAAGGACAACCGTAAAGATATTGCAAAAATGTAGAAAATGAATATTTGATTGGCAGATTTTTGCAATATTTTTGAGTTGCACTGGAGAGATTTATAAAATAAAGAATATAAATAAAATATTTTACAATATTTTTAAAGATATATAAAATATTTTTAAAAATATAAAAAATATTTTTGAAAATATATTAATTTTATTTGATTCTTTAAATTTAGTGTTCGCTGATGTCATAGTAAAGCTGTCGCTTATCAAAGACTGAAAAAACGATATCAGAATTATTGTGTTTGCTAGCGGAAACAGTTAATAAATAGTTGCGAAATCGAACGGTAGAAAGGCAATTGCAGATAGTGATAGAAAGAGAGAGTAACTCCATTGGCCGGCAACAATGGCAATGACAATGACAACCGACTACCAAGCGTATCTGGAGACAGCCTGGCAGTGGCTGAACTACCTGCCCTACCTGCTGGTGGCCTACGTGCTGCTCACCTTGGTGCCCAAGTCGCTGATGCGCATGAAACGCTACGCGGACGCTGACTTCGAAGCGAATCGTCACAAGTTCCATCGCTGCTATGGCCCTGAGCTCTGCTGCCACGCCCATGCCAGCGTCCAGGCGCAGGAGCTGCCAGCAAAGCAGGCGAAGCAACGCAAGCCGGTGACTCGCGTCTACCCGAAGCGTCAGCAGCCGCTGAACAAGCCGGAGCTGCCGTCCATTAAGCACAACCATGTGACCAACATTGCGCGCATGTTCGAGTCGGGCAATGCGACGCGGCAGGTGAGCCGTGTGACACCTGTGACGCTGCCCGACATACGATCGCTGGGCGCCAGCGAGGGCTCCAGCGAGACGACGCCTTGCGTCTCGCGCAAGGGCAGCATTGCCACACAGATGCAGCACATCGAGCATGCCATGCAGCTGTGGCAGGAGCTGCAGGATCAACAGCAGCAACAGCAACAGCAGCAACAACAACAACATCAACAGCAGCAGCAGCAGCCACAAAAGTCATCCAGGCTCAACGATTGGGAGCCGATGACTGCGATGCCTGTGCCGGCCATAAGACGCAGCCTGGGCACCTCAGCCACGCCCTCGACTGCATCGCCGCTCTGCAGCTCACCAGAGCCGCCGTCACCTGTGCTGCTGCGTGAGCCGCCCGCTCTGTGCCTCAAGTCCAGCATGGAGGACATCTTCCAGGCGATCGCACGCAGCGCCGAGGAGCCCGTCGACTGCAACAGCCTCTCGCCGATCACCTGCATCGACGACATCTTGTCGGAGCGTAGATTCTCGAGGCCCTTGTCCGCCTACTCCATAACCGATCTGCTCAACGAGGAGCAGGAGTCGCTGTTCGTGAACGAGACGACGCTGCAGCAGCTGGAAACGAGTTGAGATGGGAAGAGCTTATCCAGACTATCGAGTGATTATCTGCAGTAGATCATCTTCGTGCCATGTGCGAAAACAGCTTGCTTAGCTCTTCCTCTCTCCCTCCCTCTCTCTCACTCCCACTCTCACTCTGATTATCTCTCTGCCCCACTTATCAATGGCTTCTTTCACTGATTCACAGCAAAACAGTTGCGATAAGGCCACGCCCCCGCATTTCCCTGGCTGCTGCTTAGCCTTTGCCAGTTGCATTTTGTTTGTTTAATTAATGAAAACTTAAGCAAATCAAAATCAAATCAATAACAATTATTATTATTATTATTATGAATATTATTATATCTAACATTAGCCAATTAGATTTGATCTATAGAATTTGTATATATATATATAAAGTTCCATGGACTTTGAAGTCCTTGGGCTCAACGTATCGCATCCTTGCCTGGTCGCTATTCTGGTTCTCAGTTCTCAGTTGCCTATAACTATTATTATTTATTACTATTGTCATTGTGGATGTAACTGTAATTGAATTACGCAAAAACCCAACCAAATTATCTCAAGTGACAAATAAATATGCAAAGTACTAAAATGCTTAAAGTACTTATTAAACAAAACTTTGACTACGAATTTGTAGTTAGTATTATTTATGTCTTACTCACACACACTCACTCACACACACACACACACACACATACAAGAGTATGCATATTTTATAAATAAATTGTTTACAACAATCAATTGTAAGAATTTCATTTAATTTATGTTTGTCGCAGCTGCATTTGAATCTGAAAATATTTCATCTTTGCTCAGCAGCTGTTTTGATCAATTTGCTGCTATTTATTTTATATAATAAACATTCAGTCTTCCGCCTGTTTTGCACCTCCAACAGAGCAGAACAGAACCCAACTGAAACGATCTATTCCTAGCCAAACTAATTTGCCTCTGCCTCAGTCGAGTGGCATTTGGGCTTTTATTGTCATGATTAATTCTCTTGGATTGAAATGCGCGAATTTAATCGATATATACCATATGGATGGATAGATATGTATATATATGGCATCATTAATCAAATTCTTTATATATAGCTATATACTAGAGTGGGTTTTATGATGCTAGAGTGCAAATACCTTTCAACTTGGACACAAAAGAGCAAAACTTATCAACTGAAATTGCTGCACAAAGAATTCTTGACTCTGCTTGAGATCAACGTATGGCATAGTTGCGAAAGATATAATAGCAGCAATGATTATACTTTGTACTACTGATAATAAAAGTGAAGCAACAACAAATTCTTATTGCCATTTAAATACTCTTGTTTAATCAAGCTGCTTGATATTGCTGCCAAGCTAAAGAGTTTTATTACGGATGAAAGTTTTACAGAGGCGAAATAGTAGTTGTGCTTAAAATAGTAGTAGACCTTAAAATAGTACTGAATAGTACTGCAGCAGCTACTATTTCGATGCACAATTACAAAAGGTTCCATAGAAACTAGGTAAATTTGATTCTGTTTCAGTTCTGTTTATTCATCGATAGCCGAAATTCCTATTGGAAATAATCAGTTTGGCTACGTTTTCTTCCACAGGCAAATCTTGTAAATTTCCCTAGAAATAGTAGTGCCTCGGCTACTACTATTTTAGTGTAATGCGTAATGTAATGTAGGTAATTGTTCCATTTACGCCACTTTAAAGTAAATTTACTTTGCAGTCTGTTTGTGCATCGAGCACAACAAATGCCGATTGCAATAGTCGATTGGGGCTTCATTGTGCATCACTTGCAGCTGGTCCAATTGGACACAGCCCCCAGTGAGTGAGTGCTGAGGCAGTTAGTTTACAAAATCATTTAATTACGTGGGTGTATGCAAAAATTTCAAGGCCAACGTGTTGGCCAGCTTAGGGAATATCATCTAAGCGCTATTGCCTAAATATTGATTTCGCATTGATTTCATTGACCAAAAATATCGATTGGAATAATCATTTGTATAAGGCATATGCAAAGCGTATTCAAACGTCGTCATGCCATGCCAAAAATTTGTTGTCTTTGTTTTTTGTTTTAATTTATTCGCCTTTTAGGTGGAGTTGACCCTTTTTTATTGCGGCTTATCACATTTAATGCCTCCGATGAATCATCGCGCGCACGGCTGGAGCAATCGTCGTTCAGACCACAAAGCCGTGTAGTAGCTCAACTTAGCTCTGCTCTGCCGATGACGCATTTGCGATCAACCTCAGAAGAATTCCAATTCCTATTCCAATTCCGATTCGATTCGCTACTACGATCTACGAAGGTTGTGTGAGCGTAACAAAGCGTTTGTTTACTCAATCACACGAGCATTGCGAATAATTGGAAATTTCTCAATTGAGTTTTATGATAAACAATATATGACGATAGCAAATGATTTATTGTGCCGGCAATACAAACAGCCGTTAGGCCTGAGCTCAGCGGCTATCTTTAGTGTGGAGCGAACATAAATATGTGATATTTACAATTAATTTGTGGCTTAAACTTGAAAATCGAATGAAAGTAAACAGTCTGAGAAGTATGTTATGCTCTAAGCTTGCTCTCTCTCTCTCTCTCTCTCTCTCTTTTTCTCTCTTGGTGTCTCTTCAGAGAATATCCTGCTTATCTTATCTTATCTGTCCCACTCTCAGTTGGGCTATTTGATAACTCAACGTGTGCTGGCTCATATCTAATCTTCATTCTCTCTCTCTCCCTCTCTCTCTATCTATGTCTGGCTGTTGTTCTGCCTCTCTTTTGGGCTATTTATTTTACAGCTATCATTACCTGTCTCACCTTCCACTGCGCAGTAGCTCAGTGTTTTTTGTTGTTTGTTGTTATTTCTTTACGGGCAATGCAATGAGTACGCCTCAGTCACAGATCCCGTGGCGCGCCGTAAACAGCTCTAGAGATTGGATAGCGGCGCATTTAATTTGAATTTGTTGTCTAATCAATTAACTTGGCTTTAAGGTGTGACTCGAATGCTGTGTGCGCAATGCAAAAAGGGAAACTGGTAAAACGCTTTGAAGTTTTGGCTTACTAATTCTCAGCTCTTTGTCCAAGTGTCGAGCCTGCTAACTAAGTAACCAATTTAGTCGGCCCTGGGCAGGCCAGGCGGCAGGTGTGAGTCATGCCCTCGACTGGGAATTACCCAAGCTTTATTAATGTTAGCCAACTCGTAGCAGCCAAAAATGGTTTGATTGATGACCATTTTTGTAGCCAATGTGCGCGTTTTATTCATTTAAATTTCTAGTTTTATTTTGTGTGAAATTTTGTTTTATCTTTTCGTGTTGCTTTGTTGCTGTTTTTCGCATTCAACGCCCACGCGTCATTTACCTAATGGCCAAAACGGTACTAATTGGGCTTTAATTGTTTTTTTTTTTGTGCTCACACAGGAATCACTTTCGCTGGCCCAATCGATCTCGGATAAGCCACTCCCACCATCGCCACTCATCGTGGCCAGCCTCGAGGGCGGCAAGGTCTCGGATCGTTTGGGCAAACTCAAGTCGAACTCTGAGAAGTGGAAGCAGCGCATAGGTAAGTCCCCGTCCAGCAGCTGAGCTCAGCTTATTATAATGAACTGCTTGCAGAGCAAACGGATGCCAAGAAGTTCACAGTCGCTGGCCGACTGCAGAAGAAGGAGCAGTCGCCAGTCGAGCTGCAGTTCGAGCGGCTGCCCAATGATGCGGCCAAGAAGTGCCCCATGCTGGAGGTGCGCAGCGCCAACCAGCCCCAGCTGGGCCTGGCCAAGAGCCCCTCCATGATGGTGGGCCCCGCCACAAAGCCGACGGCAGTGCAGCGCAGCTTGAGCGTCCAGGAGGAGGAGAATGTGACGCTGACGCGCAGCAACAGCAACAAGAGCAGCAGCAGCAACAGCAGCAGCGGCTCCGACTCGGATGGCTCGCCGCGCAATGCCAAGCAGCACAAGGAGCTGGCCAATAACAAGAGCGCCGAGGCAGCCACCAATGTGGGCGCCCGGATTCAGGTGCCGCGCTCGGACGATGCCGAGACCTTTGAGAACTTCTTTGGCGGTCAGCGGGCCAAGAGCTCAGCGAACGCACAGACAGTCGAGCTGGAGATAAGCGCCTTCGATGACATCAAGTCCACGGAGCGGTAAGGCCTATTCACTTGAGTTTGAATTCAGTTTAATCTCCGTCTCCTGCTTCTTTAGCCTGGTTAGCAAGCGCAACATTCAGGGCCCCAAGGGCCGGCGCGCCGCACGCAATCCGCTCAAGACGCTGGCCGCGCGCAGCGACATCTGCTCCGAGTACACAGAGCTGAGGACGGGCGTGGCCGAGCGTGAGCTGCGACGCCTCAAGCTGGAGTCCTGTAAGTGCTGACATATTTCTGAATTATCCTTTCTAATCATCTTCAATCCGACAGATGGACAGCGCAGCAATCTGGCAGCAGAGGCCATTGCAGGCCTCGCCTCGATCGAGGACTTCAAGTCGGTGGCGCTGCGATCGTCGTCGCTTCCCCTGCAGCAGGTGTGGGTGCCCTACAAGCGCCTGATGCTGCTGCACGTGAAAGGGCGCACGCATGTGCAGACGCGCCTGGTGGCACCCGCCCAGGTGTCGCTCAATCGGGGCGACTGCTTCATCTTGGTCGCGGGCACGCAGCTGTTCCGCTACGTGGGCTCGTTCGCCAACGTGATTGAGATCTCGCGCAGCAAGAAGATCTGCGCCGCGATTGTGGAGAACAAGGATCTGGGCTGCACCGCCACACAGGAGGTCATCCTCACCGACGGCAAATACGTGAACGAGCGCGAATGGCGGCAGTTCTGGTCGCTGCTGGGTGAATCGGAGCAGCAGCAGCAGCAGCAGCAGCAGTCGCTGATTGCCGACTCTGGGCATGCGGACGAGGACGATGTGTTCGAGAGCAGCCTGATCGAGACAAACAAGATCTACGAGTTCCAGAACGATGCCCTTGTGCCCCTCGACAAGTACTGGGGCTGCATACCCAAGGTGGAGATGCTCGACACGCGCAAGGTGCTGGTCTTTGACTTTGGCAGCGAGCTGTACGTGTGGAACGGCAAGAATGCGAGCACGGATGACAAGCGGGCGGCCATGCGACTCGCCCAGGAGCACTTCGATGCCCCGGATGCGGCAGACTATGCCCAGTGCTATCTGAATCCGATCAACTATGCGAGCATCGTGGGGCGGCGCGAGAGCACAAAGTACGCCAAGCGCTGCCCTCAGCGGCCGGAATGGTGCGTCCTGGGCAGGATTACCCAGAATATGGAGACGGTGCTGTTCAAGGAGAAGTTCAGCGACTGGCCAGAGCTGGAGCGCGAGGATC